CATGGAGGACATTAGGAGAAGGAAGGGAAAAATGAAGGGGGGGAAATCGGAGAGAGAGATGAACCATGAGAGACTATGGACTCTGAGAAACAAACAGGGTTTTAGAGGGGAGGGGGAGGGGGAGGGGGAATTGGTTAGCCCTGTGATGGGTATTAAGGAGGGCACGTACTGCATGGAGCACTGGGTGTTATACAAAAACAATGGATCGTGGATCACCACATCAAAAACTAAAGATGCATTGTACTGTAACTAACGTAACATAATAGAATTAAAAAAAGGAAAAAAGAAAAAAAAAAAGGAGAGCCAGGGATGTGGCAAAGTATTTCAGATTTTCATTTTATAATTTTCATTCACTCCACTATGGAGAATGGATTAGAGGTGGCAAAATTAATGAGGGAAGACAATGCAGACGGCAGTGGTAGAAGTTGAATTGAAAGGGGACAGTATCTTAGAATTAGGTACAGACAATGGAGAGATGGAGGGATACTGGACAGAGAGAGGAGGGAAATTTTTTTTTTAAGATTTATTTTATTTGAGAGACAGAGAGAGTGGGGGAGGGAAAGAAGGAGAGGGAAGGAGAGAAAATCCTCAAGCAGACTCCCCACTGAGGGTGGAGCCCAATACAGGGCTCAATCCTAGGATCCTAAGATCATGACCTGAGCTGAAATCAAGAGTCATACGCTTAACCAACTGGACCCCCCAGGCTCCCCAAAGAGGGAAATTTTTGAAATAAAAGTGTCAGGACTTGGTGGAATATTGAAAACGATGTGGAAGAGGACGTTGGCTAATATGATTCTGGATTTTTGGCTTGCACAACCTAATGCATGGAGAGCTGTTCTCTGAGATAAAGAAGGAAACTGAGCAAGAGAGAGGGGGAGATTATGAGCTCAGTTTTGTACATGTTTTATTTATACTGTGTCTGCAATATCCACAAGAGAGGTCAAGCAGAGAGATGGGTGTCTGAGACCGGGTGGGGGAGGGGGGGAGAGTGTTGGAAGTGGGCCGGTCCAGATTTTGAGATGCAAATTTAGAAATACAGTTTATGGACAGCAACCGAAACTGTGGAATGCAACGACTGCATTGTGTGAGAACTGAGAATACTAAAAAAGCAAGCAGCTGAACATGGCATCTCCTTTTCCACTCACCTTACTACAAACTGCAAGAATATAAATATTTCTCTTTGGTTCTTAGTTCACTACGTATAGAATTTTGGATAAAAATATCCACACCAAAAATGTATGATAATCTGAAGAGCTAGGAAATTATAAACTTTCCAACAAAAGTTCAGAACTAAGTAGAAAAAACAAATGACATAATAACATAGGTCAGGAGCCTATTACTGTACATTAGAATTCTTAACGGTGTAATAAAGTATTAGAATACTGAGATCTGTTTATGTATGCCTAGTAGGTTGGGATAAGATAAAGGCTGGGTTTAGGCAATCAATTAGTTTACCAGTGTCTTCTTGCTACCTTTATGCTTAAACTCCATTAGAGTTTGACCTTTCCAGAATTTCTGAGATTATGGGCAGTTTTCCCCTGAGCATCCTCCAGCAGCTGTTTGAACAATAAGTTAAACCAACCGAGCTACTTATACTTGTCTAAAACAATGTTCCTAACTAGCATGGGACCAGATGAATAAAAAGATCAGAAAATGAAAAGAAAAGAAAGGGGCCAACTCTTGTTTTAGATGAGAAGATTAATTTTGCATATAAGTCAGAACTGATAAAACAAAATGCTAAATATCAAATGTGACATCACAATATGGTGATATAATAATGACCCATGTAATCAAAATTATCATGCAAGATTTAGATAGTTTATGCACTCATTTATCATTATAAACACTATGTAGAGTCCCTGCATGTGCCGTGATAGAAACAAAAGTAAATCCACATTACTGACTATTTTACATATTATTTTTCATTCAGTACTTAACTCTAGAAATGCTGTCTCTTCTGAAAAGTGAAACCTATACTTACCACATATTAAAATTTATACATTTATAATTGTACTATATATGTAATATCTATATATAGTGACTATCAAGTTTAGTAGCATGGTTTCGATCAATCATGAGCACAGAACCAATGCTCCATGAAGGTTTGGGAACTCATGAAATCCACATTATCAGTGCTAACTGATTTGTCCAGTGAGAACTTTAAATTTATCTAAAGGATTTAAGTCTTAATAAGAATTTTAAAATCAAATTAGACCTGATTTTCAATATTTTATACATGTAAGAACTCATAGGACCCCCTCATTCCAATAGCAAAGATGGTTTTAATGGTGCTTGCTTATTTTCAGAATTCTTTTCACTTATGATTCTTTGTGAATAAATACACTGATGCATATTCAAAAGTGAGGGACCAGAAGTCACACCTGATGGATGTTTTGTCCCTGAGCCGTATTAGTTATTAGTTTTATTTTTTATTTATTTTAATTTCTTAAGGCAATATTCCGTATTTTCAAATTCTTCAACTTACATGAAAATCTTCAGAAATTACTGATGACAAATATGCCTCATTGACTTAAATGTATTTGTTATAAAACAAATTTTTAAAAATTATCTAACATTAATATTTCAGGTTACATATTTTAAGCTGATTGGAAGACTTTACAAAATTGAAAAAAAAATCTATTTTTTCGGGACTGAGTCACAAAAATATTAATTTCAATATAGTAATTAGTAAATATTTAACCTAAACTGATTTCTTTTAAATATATAAGTTGAATTGTTAAGTGCTTATGATTTCTGAAAACTGGAAAAAAAGAGGTTTATATTTTCTACATTAAAGGGGGTAAAGCTCAACATATTTTGTTGATAAAAGTTCTAAAATTATAATAAGTAATGATACATAAATCAAATTACTTTATGGTACTAATGGTACCCAAGTTATAACCATTTTGGTAAAATATCTTACTTAATTGAATAATAGATAAACTTGTATTTAGGTCTGCTGTATATGGAACAAAACTTTGTCATACTTGTAAATTTTAAATTAAATTTCTCCCTCTTTAATAGTATTACATTATAGGAAATGTCTTCATATATTAGACTATGTTCAAGGCTCTTGAAATTCAAATTCAAATCCATATTATCCTCATAACTGAAAATTTTAAGGATGATTTTTTATCTCTTTAACTTCACATTTGTCAACATCATTGAAGAGCACCTACAGTATTATTTTGCTCTATGCATTCCTTTTGTGACTTAATCAACTTTATAAGAAGCTGATTCAATCAACCAGAAGTTTAAAAAGTTATTTCTGTTTCTAATTTGTTATTGAGAGGTAATTAAATTTTATTAACATATTCATTATCATTTTCCTCTGGTCCCTGTGTTTCTTCAATAATGTATTCTGATATCATATGAATTTAAATGCAGATCTTTTCATATCCTCACTATCTGCCAAAAGTAGTAATGATCTAGTGCAGAATAATGAGTCAATTCTCTAAAAATGTGAAACTCAGAAGTTTTATGTGTCTTTCAAGTCTTGAAAGTAGAACTCTACTCAAAGAATGTAACAGTAGAAATATATAAAACACAAATGTTGACCCACTTCCTAAAGATATACAATCCCATACTTAGCCAACAAATCAGGAGAGCTGAATGCAAAGGGGCTCAGCAACAGTTTAATTCTAAGACTTTGAACGAGGCAAAAGTGAACATGAAGTAGGATAAAAAGGGAGGTTAGGATAGAGAATAACAACACTGTATTTCAGACAAGAAAAAAAGAGAGAAAATACTGCTGTCCAATGGCCTCATTTGCCCACCTCTTTAGTCCTGAAATATAGATTCAAGACACAGGGATCCTGGATAACACACTAAGTCAGTTTCTAAGCCCATACAGGAGATCCTTCTGAATGGTGTTTAAAGCAAGTTTCACCTCACATCAGATAACTGGAAGATTGATGTGATATAATGACAGAAGATGACAGAAGAATACCATCATCTCAGAAATATGAGAACTGCTCCACTTAGAGATTTACCAAAATGCATATTGTGATTACAACTCTGAATCCTTACAAAAAGAAAAAAAAATATGAATGAGCCAGTAAAAATTAATTAGCAAACTTTTAGTGAGATTCCAACTTGGGTAAGAAAAACCAAGCTGGCATCTCTCAATCAAAATTTTCAACCTGAAACGTTTTAGGCTTAGTAACTACCAAAGCACACGGGGAGGGGGGTGGGTGTTGAGGGGAAGCGAGTGGAAATTGGGAGATGCTAGATGCCCCGTGGGGACTTACTGTACCTGTGTCCACATCCTTCACCTGTTGCCTGGCTTGAGTTGGCCGGCTCCACTTTGAGCTCTTGCAGGACCAGCCCTTTATCGTGTGGTCCAGGAAAGTCCATGCCTGGCACCTCCTCTTCCTCTAGAGACTCCACGTAGAAGAGAGTCCTGGCTGGCTGTTGGGTGCCCTGCCCCGGTGCCCCTTGCTGCAGCCTTGTGGCCACTGGCAGCAGGGTGTCATTCAGTGGGTTAAAGGACGAGGAGGAAGACGGCGGTGAGGACGACGAAGAAGAGGAGGAAGAGGAAGTCTTCTTCCAGAAAGTGCTCACGCTGCCCTTCTCTTGGCTTTTGAGCAGGCGGCTCTGGCTGGGTCCCCAGTGCTCGAAGCTGCCGCTGCCGTCCTGTTGCAGGCAGCCGCCCCCCGCCGGGCCGCCAGGGGCTGGCGACGGGTGGCTGAAGAGTTTCCAGCGGAGTCGCAGGATGTGCTTCACATCGAAGTCTTTTCGCCCAGAGCCTGACATGCTTGACGCAAGAAGGCAAAGAGACCTCAGCTGGCGCGGAAGTAGACGGGCCAGCTGGTGGGGGAGGCCGGCAGAGCCCGGGGTCGGAGGAGGAGCACTGCGCCCTCTGCACCCCGGGAGCACACGCGGCGAGGCGGGCTGCGCGCCTTGCTAGGCAACCACCAGAGCGCGGACGGCAGAGCCGCGCGGCTCAGCTGCGGTCAGGTCCGGAAGGAGCCGCGCGTGGGGAGCCCACCGGCTGAGAGCAGAGGCAGGAGCCGGACGCCGAGGGCAGAGATTCCTCGATCCACGCGCGGGGGCCCCGTGGTTACGGCAGGGAGGGACGACCCTGGTGATGGAGGGGCGCGAAGACGGGAGGTCTGCGCGCTCCGAAGGTCGGGAGGCGGCGGCAGCAGGATACACCTCCCTGGGATGCACCCGTGACAGAGCTTCAGTCGGGAGCTGTCCTTGCAGCTCAGAGTTCAGTGTCTGGAGAGCGCAGAGAGAGAGAGAGAGAGCCCCAAGTCAAGAAGAAGTGCACCCCCTAGTCTTCTCGGTGCACCTGCCCCTGTCCCTGGCCTCTCCGAGGATGCTCTGAGAGCCTGCCAGGTATCTTTGAGAAAGTCAGATGCCTTCTGCGAGGCGAGAAGGGGTGGTTTTACAGAGTCAGTTTGTAAAAGAAAAGAACAAATATTCCAGAAAATATAGGGAGGCAAAAGGAAAAGCCCGCCCGTGAAGCTGTCAAGGTCCTCACAGTACAATTTTCTCTCTGCCTCAGCGCCTCCTCCTCCCCTGCAAGTGACGCAGATGTGCACTGGGGCCTATACGGAGAGACGGAGGGAGGGAGGGAAGGCTTCAATCTTCTTTATGCAAGTGAGTCTGCTGCTCTTATTGTCCCCTTGCTAGGTCCTGTCACCTTTTTTCATCCCCCTTCCTCACTACATTACTGTGTAGCAATAAAAGAAAAGCAAACAGGCATTATGCTTTAGCATCAGTAAACACCAAACATGAATCATGGCAGCGTAAACTTAATAGGCTGCCATCGGTTTGCAGGTTGCAGGTTAATGGCTTGAATTATTTAATAAACCGCATCCTTTAACCTTTAGCCTTAGTTTCTCTGTAGTGAGATACAGAAGAAACAGTGGTGCTGGCGTCAAAGTGTGATAATGCCACCATTCTGACACTTACATTGTGATTCTGCCATTAATACACTCAGGCAGCGCTTCACCCTGGGGGCTAGAGGCTCACACAGTAGAAATTTTAAGATGGGCATCTGAGCGCAGGGGACGACTTTTGCAAAATCAGTGCATTTGGTGTGTAGCCTTAGAATGAAAGCTGTTCTCGGGGTAAACCAAGCAGTGGAATAAAATGATAAAAGAGAATTTCAAGGCAAACCTTCTGGTGCATAAATCATGATATTGAATGCATAGAAGAGTTTAGGCAATGAACAAATATATCCCAAGGCTACCATCCTTCAAAAATCTGTTTGAAGAAGGGAAGATGTGTTTTCCTTTATACCTATATTTAGAATGAGGAGGATTATGATGCCTTTCTAGCTATGACTACTTGGACATTTTTCATCTTTTCCATTAATGAGCCATTAAAATAGAACCCAGTCACCTTTGCTGAAGGCAAAGGGGGTCAGAGAAGCAGCAAGGTCCCCAAGCCCACCAGGAATGTGGTTGTTGTCCATTCATGAAATTCACAGCTTCAGCAACCCCCAAAAGGGCTCAGAAATCAAATATTAAAGTGCAGTTATATTACTGTTCTGTTACCCTGTTGTTGAGCAGTAAACTTAAATAGAAACCAAAGATAAATATGAAGTCCTTCCTAGACAAAGTCGGACATTTTAATAAAACAAGAAATTAAGCACACATTTTTTTTCCACTTTTAGGGGAAGAAAAATCACTGTTGTGCATTTTAAATATTGATTTATGCCACAACAGCTGGAGTGCAATCCCCAGTGCCTTGATTTTTCTTTCAGTATTCAGTGTTAAAAAAGAAAGAAAGAAAGAAAGAAAGAAAGAAAGAAAGAAAGAAAGAAAGAAAGAAAGAAAGAAAGAAAGAAAAAGAAAAAAAGCCCTTTAAAGCAAACAATGGTACAGATCATTTTTATCCAAGAACTGAATCAAGTAAGTATTTCCCTCAGGGAAGAAAACAGTGTATGAAATTACACATCACAAACAGGACAGAGAAAACTTTCCATCAGAGGTAATGTAGAAATTTCAGATGCATATAATTAAATGATTTCTATAGAAATTGATGCTTCATAGATTTTCTAACTTGATATAATTTTTAATTTAAAATAACAAAATAACAAAAATAATACCAATCTGTTATATGTATATATTCTTCATTAATTAACATCTGTAATCATTCAAAAACTGTAATATAAAATTCGTTTTTGTTGGTATTCTGAAATTCCATTTTGTATTCCCCTTTTATTCTGCGATACTGCTATTAACTATTATACAGCTTAAAAGTTGTCTATTTAAAGGTCAGTAATTTATGTGATCCAAAAGAGATGTAATATTGAGTTTTATTATAAAGGAACATGAATTAAAATATTAAGGCATATTTAGCAAATGATGACTAATATAGTTAGTCTGGTAGTGATATTTAGTACATTTTCTTAGTCTTTGGTAGTCTTGTAGTAATATTTTGTGTGCTGAAAACACTGTTGCAAGCTTTTATTTAAAATAGCTACTTTTTTATACTTCCCAATCTGTATACAATAATCACTCTTGTTGAGGAACATATTTAAACATAATTCATTTAAATTACCAAGTAAAATATATAGGATTTAGAAAATAGAGTATGCCTGAAATTATGTTAAAGTGAAATGATTGAAGATGATTGATTATATTCTTAAACTTTAGTATTTATTTACTAATTATTATTACTATACTGTTAGTGGGAAAGAAGAAGGGAAGGAGGAGGAAGGAAAAATGAAGTAATAAAGGAAGGAGAAAAGGAAAGGAAAAGACAGAGGAAGAAAGAAGGAAGGAAGGAAGAAAGAAAGAAAGAAAGAAAGAAAGAAAGAAAGAAAGAAAGAAAGAAAGAAAGAAAGAAAGAAAAGAAAGAAAGAAAAGAATGAAGGAAGAAAAGAAAAAGAAAGGAGAGAAGGAAAGAAAAGAATCAATTTACTAAGACATCATGACTTAGCTTTTCATATTAGAAAAAATCCTTGAAAAATTATGCCTTTTGAAATACTGTACTCATTAATTTATTTACCCACTATTCAAAATTAAAAAAAAAAAATAACTGAGCACTTACTGTATACCGGGTCCAATGCCAAGTATTAGCATACATGGAAGAATTAGGTTCCTTGCAACTGGCTGGAAGAGCTAACAAAAAAGATTGTTTAGCCAGTCATAATTAATAATTGACTTGTACGGGGCACCTGGGTGGCTCAGTCGGTTGAGCGTCTGCCTTCGGCTCAGGTCATGATCCCAGGGTCCTGGGATCGAGCCCCGCATCGGGCTCCCTGCTCCGCGGGAAGTCT